TCTTTTTTTAGCCAGTCGGCTTTAAGACAAAACAAATACTTGATACTATCTAGTGCTCCAGATACAGCTGCAAGCAAAAGTGGTGTGGAATGGTATCTATTGACAGGGTGGGGGGGGGGGCAAAATACCGTGATATGAAACAAACTGAAACAAATTGAAAGTGATACACTGGATTTTATTTCATGTACAGGTATTCCTTGACTTAAGACTAGACTAGTTGCTTAGCAATCATTCAAAATTACGATGGGATCCCCCAAATGTACTTATGACCCAGTTCCAAAGTTCCAACGGCTGCTGCCGCCCCCGGTCTCGAGACTACTCTTTGGACACAAGGAAACTGGCCTGCATTTACGGCCATTTGCAGTGTCCTCCAGTCATGTGGCTGCATTTTACCACATTTTTGTTGAAAACAATTGTTTACAAATATGTCAATGGTCATAAGTGTGAAAATGATCATAAGTCATTTTTTTAGTGCCTTTGTAACTTTGAATGGTCACTAAACAAACTGTTGCAAGTTGAAGACTACCTGTATAAGCATATACATTCATTGACTGGACCCCACTCTATCTGCCCAGATTCCTTACTATCATGCCTTAGAATCATTGTTCCATGTTTGAGGACCAGTTGCCAAAATTCTTGCTACCACCCTCTTCCTAAGTCTCTGTTCAGGCTTCCTTTCTACTGAAGCTCCACTCCAGAGCCAATTCAGCTGTAGGTAGCAGCTGACAACTACATCCAATACTGTATATAGCTGCCCAGAGTCACTTAATTGAGTTGGATAGCTATAGAAAGTGAATAAACAAACCACCGAATAAATAAATATCACAGGTCTTCTCATTCTGGCCTCCCTTCTGGCTTCACAACAATCCAGAACCAACCCAATCATTCCAACCAACCACTCCTTCATTCTCAACTCTACCAGATTCTTAACCCACCAAGCAACCTGTCTCTGGTCCCCCCCCGCCCCGCAAACATTCTTCCTGGACACCCCCTTCTGCTTACTCACAGAGATTGAGTTTCCACCTCTAACAGCTGTGGGTCTTTTCGGTAGAGGACTGTGATGCAGGCCACGTTGTCATAATAGGCCGCAAAATGGATCGGCAACCATCCTCGGTCGTCAGGTATTTGGTAATCTGCTCTTAAAGCCAGAAGGAAATGAAGCGCTTCAAGGGAACCACACTGGGCTGCTAGATGCAAAGCTGTGGGTCCCCAAGCTGATAGACAACAAGAGGCAAGAGTGACCATTGGCCTTGAGGAAGGAAAGCAAAAGCTCTATAGAGTGGAATGATTATGAGCTAGTTATTATCAGTGCTCTGTTCATCCTTTTGTTTTTGCATAATTAATATTAAAGTTATGCTTCTCAAAGCTGTACTTGTTATTATTGCTGCAGCTCTTGATGCCAGAAAAGCAACACAGACAGATAAGCCTAAAATGAACTGCATTCCAGCACTTAATAACTCAAAACAAAAATAAACCTTCTGCAAATGGCAGACCAAATATAAACGGTATATATTTGTAAATTTAGAACTGATGTGTTTTTACAGTCTGATAAAAATGTAAAATATTTTTTGGCAGACTTTCCTAGCTGAGGGTTCCACTGGCAAAATAGGGATGACACTCCAAAAAATAGGCAGATGGTGGGACTAGCACAAAATGGAGACAACATGGAATGGAGACAGGTTGAAAACAAATGTTGATTTCAGAGTGAGAAGACCTGTGGTATTTATTTGTTTTCAATATTTCCCCGTTCCATGTTGACTCTGTTCAGGTCCCACCATCTGCCTATTTTAATTTTAAAAAGTGAATTTGAATTCATGAAATATATTTAATGGTTTTCACTTTGCGTCTTATAAAACAGATCTCAAGTGGCACTAGGAGCTGTTGCAACTCTGGTACTATGGCTTCTTTCTTCCATTTTATTTTATTTTTACATGTACAATTTGGAAACATAGAAATTCACATGTATTCATATGTATCTCAGGGCCTGATATCTTATAATTAAAATGGCATTGGATGATTAGCACCCTTAATATGCACAAGCAAAATATCAATGTCAATGTTAAGTATGTTTAATTCTTATACACAATTTCAAAGGGACAGCTGAGAATACATAATGTTATTAAATTCTTTCCTTTGAAATAAATGGATTTGGATCAACATGCTTCATTTGAATGGATTGTACTCAAGATTTCTTGAAATAGAATAGAAAGGGCAGTCAAATGTGAAAGCAAGAGAAATAGCTGTTTGCACTTGATATCAAGCCAGATCTAGTGCAACTAACTTACCTTTCACAGGGTGCCAGTTAAGATAATTTTAATGCAATCTAAAAAACCTAAATTACTTCGTTATCGTGTTCTAATTGTATGATATTTAAAAACAAACAAACTTAGAAGTCATCTCTCATTTTCATTTTTTGGATCTCAAAAAAGATTATAGAACTGGAGAAAACAACACTGCAGTGTATACAGGATAGAAGCATGGGAATCATTATCAATATGTCATATCCAAGGGTACGTTCTGTACTGCTATTTAAGAAAAAGCATTATCCTGCTATTCCATGATTCTCCTCTTAACATACACTTCCACATAGTGGAAGCAACTGCAAGAGTATAAAGGAAAATTGCAAATGGGAAATGATTACCAGTATCCTCTGTAAAAAAAAAGTCAGTGTTTGAAATAAGGCAATTGTACACAAAAAAATGTGTCTGCAAATATCCTTAATAGGTACAATGTTAATCCTGCATTTATTTACAACTCACAACTTCTTTCTCCAATCATGACATCCTTTTCTATGAAGGCAGGTGTTCCTGAAAATAAAAAGATTCATTTTCAGGTCACAGTTATAATTTGTACAGGTAGTCCTTGACTTACATTCTTACAATCATTCTTTTAGTGACCATTCAAATGTATAAAGGCACTGAAAAAAAATGACTTGTGACCAATTTTTACATATTGCACCATCCCCATATTCACCTAGTCAAAATTCAGTTGCTTGGGAACTGGCTCATAAGACAGCTGGAGGGCCCCCCGAGTCATATCATCACCTTTTGCCACCTTTTGAGAAGCAAACTCAACAGGGAAGCCTGATTCACTTAACAACTGTGACAAGAAAGGTTGTAAAATGGAGCAACTTAGCAACTATCTGGCTTAGCAACAGACATTTGGGCCTCAATTGCAGTGATAAGTCGAAGTCTGTCTGTCTATCTATCTATCTATCTGTCTGTCTGTCTGTCTGTCTGTCTGTCTGTCTGACTGTCTGTCTGTCTGTCTATCTATCTATCTATCTATCTATCTATCTATCTATCTATCTATCTATCTATCATCTACAGTATCTATCTAGAGAGCTAGCTATAATATGATAAAAGCGACATTGATAATATCACACTTAGCTACAATGTCTTTTTGACAATATTACATACAAACAAAATAATCTCAGTTATTCAGAATTTTCAGGGCTTTCACAAAATGTTCTAAGCTTCACTTTAAATTAGTTTGCCCCTCCAGCTGGTTATCGAGCAAAATTGATTTTTGAAATATTTTTTCACATGACATTGAATTTACATTTATGAATGCTCCCACAATGCTTCCATCTATTGGAAGACTTTTGTCTGACTACTGCTAAATAGATTGATTATAAAATAGGACAACTGTTAAAGCTTTATTTTATATAAAAAGAAGATAATAGATTTATAACATACCACTTTTTGTTTCTGGTTTTTGGAAACGTTTTCCTGAAAAAGAAACCCAACCCAAATTATGTTGATATTGTTGTTACTGCATTTTTATATTATCGTTTGTGTCAAAGCTCTTATCATATGACAATTAATAAATAATAAATTAATAACAAATTAATATAATAAGTAATATAATAAATAACATTTGGCACAGATAAAAAGATAAACTCTAAACATTGCCTACTCATTTCTAGGTAAAGACTGTGGAATGACAATCTTAGGGTGATTTAATATGTGAGGATTAAAAGACTATTGTGTATTCCTTGCAGTTTTAATTTAATTTGTTTTTTTAAAGAAAAGTTTACAAAGGCTCAGTTCATATATTCAGCTAAGCCATAACGTGCTTTGACTTTGGTTTAGCCCTTAACTTGACCTTTAGCCTTAAAGGCTTAACTTAGCCTTTAATGAGTTTAACTCAACAAATGATGTTTATCAAATCCTGACAAAGTATGATTTTGTGTGAACCCAAACATTGAAGCAAACATTTAAACCTTGGGTGCTAAATTAGGATAAAAATGGAAAAACAACATGTGAAGTTGGATAAATTTCTCTAATTAGATGCTAGAATGTTAAGTACAAATGTTGAGAACAGATATTGAGCGTGAATCCCACATCGATAAGTTATGAAACCTATGGAAGGAGCAAAACAGGATCTCATAAATTTTGGAAAATAAAACAAATGATACCCTGAGGAATGAATACTTTGCAGAATGGAAATTAATCAGGGAGAGAAGCAACCTAGAACTAAGAAGAAATTTCCTAACAGTTAGAACAATTAATCAGTGGAAACAACTTGCCTCCAGAAGTTGTGAATACTCCAACACTGGAAGTTTTTAAGAAGAGATTGGACAACCATTTGTCTGAAATGGTATAGGGATTCCTGCCTGAGCAGGGGTTGCACCTGACCAGGAGAACCGTGATGGTGAACCTATGGCATGCGTGCCACAGATGGCACGCAGAACCATTTGTGCCAGCACGCGAGCTGCAGGCAAACTTACCTCATTGTGCATATGCGCGCCTCCCAGCTGATTTTTGGCCAGTTTGAGGCTTTTTTCTGGCCTCCCAAAGGTTTGAGGAAGGCTTCTGCAAGCTTTGTAGGCTGACAACTAGCCCCATTTCATCACGTGATGAAACGGGGCTAGTTTTTAGCCTACAAAGCTGAAGTATTTTTGGGAAAACAGGAAGTGATGAAACAGGGCTCGTTTTCGGCCTGCAAAGCTTGCAGAAGCCTGCAGATGCCTTCCTCAAGCCTTTGGGAGGCTGAAAAAGGCCAAAAATCAGCTGTGAGGCACAGTGCAGGTAAGGGGGCAGCGGAGGGTGGGTGGGTGCGTGGAGTAGGGGGCATGGACATGCATTGCCTGCTGGGTGCTGGCACACGAGTGTGAGTGTGGCAAGCACATGCACAATTTTTGGCACAGGAGCCCCCAAAAGTTAGCCACTACTGCACTAGAAGGCCTCCAAGGTCCCCCCCAACTCTTCTCTCCTCTTTTCCATTTCCATTTCTTGTTTTTTTATATAGTTTCCAAACTCAGACTTTTAGTGTTTCATATAAATGGGAAGGAGTAGAACTCTGGTACTCACAACTTGTTGGCAGCATCTTATTTTTCTTACCTTGGCTCGCTGGAATAGAACGCTTTTGATTAATCGTTAGATGTAGTTTAACCACCTGAGCTATAATTGCCACACGGTTGTAAATAGCAGCATGATGAATGTATGCATAACCACAATCATCTGTAATAGCAAGACTGTTGATGGAGGTCCTACGGCAGAAGGTAAGGAAGATGGCAGCCAGTCCTCTATCAGCTGCAGATTTCATGCCAAAAGACAGGCTCTAAAACCACAGAAGGGAAAACAGTGAAGGTCACTCATGCTATTTACGCTTCCAGTTATGATTCCTTCTTGGTTTCAAATAGTTAGATATGATGCTATAGCCTTGGGGGAAAATATAGTAATTTAAGATATAATTGTGGTAATAAGTATATTGAGACAGCAGAACAGAAGAGAGAAAAAATGGAGAAAATAACAAAATACAAGGATCTGCAAATAAAAGTAGAACGACTATGACAAAAGAAAGCAAAGAGAGCATCAACATTAATAGACGCCCTGGATAAAATCCTAAAAGAACTGGAACACCACTAGAACAGTATTGGAATTGACAAAAATCACCATCTGTCAATTGCAAAAGGCAGTTTTACTTAAAACAGCTTACCTCCTGCCATGATACCTTTAACACCAGTTGCCTATTTCAGGTCCTTTGGAAAAACTTGGTGGATTAAAAAAATGCACCCAGTCTAAACATCTGGCTGACTGTTCAACCAACCATTATATAATAATATACTTTGTTTCTTTTTTTTCTGTTGTATTCTTTAACTTTTAAAGCAAGTTTTATGTTACTTTTGAGAATGCATTTGTAGTATAATCATGCCTGCATTTGGTTTCTTTCCTTTTTCTTTTCTGTTATAAAAGCAATATAAAGTAAAAATATCGAATTGTGATGCTGAATTGTATTAAAAATATGAATTTTGACATTTATTAAAAAATGCCGCCTCTGTTGAACCAGGGTTTCAGCAAAAAAAAAAAACAAAAAAAACTGTGTATTCTGTTTTTTAAAAAAATGGGAGTTTAATTTCAAAGACCACTTTAACGTTGTTTGGTCTGGGCCTCCATTGTTGCTCGAAAATGAAACAGAAAGAAACTAGGATGCCCATTCATTGTTTGAAAATTGCAAATAACCCAACAATCAGAAGGTCATTTACAAAATTGCATTGAGCTCTTGAAAATCTAATAATTTTGCACCAAAATTATGGACCCTTTGATTATTATTATTATTGCTATTATAGCTCTTTAACTATAGAAGCCCTGTTCTATCATGGAGGTTAAATACAAAGTCAAGGAACAGAAAGAAAAAGCAGAAAGGGGACAGAAACTGGGTTTGAAGAACAGTAATAAAGATCAGTTTGTTTTGGTGATTAATACATTTGCTTTAAGATAATTGTCATAGTAATAGAGTATAAATACAAGTTTTCACAGACTTGTTCTCTATGGTAAGATATTCAAATCCTTAAGACATACCTTACATTTAATAGCTTTCCTATAGCCAAATCTTTTCTTGAATTGTTCCATTGCTTGTGTATCAGTTAATGGAAGCCTTTTTGGTTTAAGGGTGCTTATTACTTCATTGATAGCTCCCCACCACTGACTTTTAAAAAGCATATAAAAAGCTTCAAGCTCAATGCCAATTACGTAGTATCTGTTTTTAAAAAAGAAGCCACATTACATTAATAAGCAAATATTTTAACACATCATATTGTGTCTATTTATTTAACAATGCTTTTGGAAGGAACATGCATTGTGATCTTTCAACCAAGCATAATCTATATTCATCAGACCTAAATAAAGCTATTTCTATTTCATCCCTGACAGGCAAATTGGTCTGGGGGGAATCTAGCAGTCTCCAATACTTGGATGGCAATGTGGCTGGCTACAAGCTTTGTATAAATTTGATTAATTCAGCCAATCAAGCTGGCCAAACCTAATGGCCTGCAGATTTCTTTAGACTACAGCTTTGTACCATTAACTTTGTAGATGTGAGTTTTAATTAAATCAAGCTATTTGAAAGGCACCTAATTAAGGAAAACTGATTTATAAACCTCCAGTGAGGGAGAGGTGACATGAATATACTAGAATACAATTATATTTTAATTTATCTCATCATCCCTTCCTTGACAGAATATACTCTATGGTTCCCATATATTTTAACTTGATCAATTATAACTCTTGTTACTAATTTCAGAGAGAAGAGTTGAAAGTTACGCAGTAAATCTTATGGCTTGTGAGAAATTTTAACCTGCACCTCCTAGTCAACCTCCATACCATGATAGCTTTGAGACTCTATGGCAGGGGTCCCCAAACCCAGGCCACACCCCATTACCGGGCCATGAGCTGTTCAAAACTAGGCCGCCGAAATGTATTGGCCAAGCACATGCAAGTGCATCCCCCTTGTGTGAGCAGTGGGTGAGTGAAATGGAGCTGTGCACACATGCATGTTTGCCTGCCACTTGTGTGAAACCATCCCCTCTCCCCCCCTCACCGGTCCACAAAACTGAAAAGGTTAGGGAAGTCTGCTCTATAGGGCTGTGTGTGTGTGTATGTTTGAATGAATTAATGAACAGGAAAATTCTATTTCCCATTTAACATTTCTGATTGATTGTCAGCATTTGTAATAATTTCTACATTTTTACTTACAGGTATCTTCAAATTACAACTATAATGGAGCCTGATCATCATGGTTATAACTTGTAAATTGAATCGCTTACATGACCAACATGATTTTATAACCTTGGTTGTTAAGCAAATGCCACGACTGTTAAACAAACACTGCAATAGTTAAGCAAACCAATAGTTTGCTATGGGCTGTTTTTACTGAAAAGAAGAAGTAAATGCTGGGTTTTGTAGTCTCATGATGGCAGAATGCTGCCAATGGCTATACATGTGGACTGTGAGCTCCCAAAATGCAATCACATGACCTCCAGGGGAAGGACAGCCATTGGAACTTCAAAACCAGGACCCAGATTGTTGGGGGCAATCTGCTGATTCTGTAAACCGCTTGAAGAGGGCTGTAAAAGCACTGTGAAGCGCTATATAAGTCTAAGTGCTATTGCTATTGCTATTATTGTACTCACAAAAGTGTTTGTGAATAACTAAAGGACTCAAAATGTCTCAGCTATTTTGAACTTAATCTAGTGAATTTTCTAAATAAATTGAAATATTTCTGCACGCTCTTTACCTTTTGCCATCAAAATCCATTACTGGTATAGGATAGTGTTCTCTGTAGGGTGCATCTGTGTCCAGCAGATGAGTAAGATGATTTATTGCACATGTGTGCATTTCATCATAGGCAGCCTATAGCAAAAACATGATAAATATATCTGGTGACATTTACAAATTTACAATGTAAATTTGTAAATTTACCACAGATTTTCTATTGTAAATATTTTACCTCAACTTCTTTGCAACCCGTTCCCATGTTTTCCTCTGTTCTAGAGAGGAACATCCCACATAGTATTATAATTTGCAAGCTGATATATAGAGAAATTATAACTAATAAAAGGAGACAGTTAACAAAAAAATACTTGTATGTATGATAATTTTGGTTCATTAAGTTTTCATTACAGATCTGAAAGCCATTACCAAAATCTGGATCTGAGGGTGTCAGTTATCAAAAAGTATTCTGTGTTGCTGATTTTATATTAATACCCAATGAAACTGATTTCCAGAACTCTCAATTTATGAAGCAGAGCCTTCAGGTTAAATACTACTTAACCTTACAATTTAACTCAAATAAGCCTCTGCCCAAAATTGAGATAGTAATTCTCTCTCCAACTCCCTCTCCCTCTCCTTCTTCTCATCCATCCACTCATCCATCCCTGTGATAAAATCATTAGCACAGTTATTTTTGTTCTTTAAAAAATCAGTTTGGTACCTTAACCTCTTTGGAAACTTCTTCAACTGAAGGTGTCCCAATATCAAATTCAATGCCACCATGGAGATGGAAATACTGATCCTGGGCATACAAAAAATGTTGGCATTTGAAATCTGTTCCAAGCAAAAATGGGGGCAATTCACGTTCAGTTTTAACTTTGTCATCTATTAAAAAATAGGGAAAGCAAGAGTTGGGTTTAGAATAATGATTGACACTATTGATCGATCTGTGTTACCAATTTTTAAAAAAGGAATTATAAAAGGCACTTTTCTCCTCTCTTGGCAGATTTTTATTTGAAGCAGATAAAAAAAAGATCTTATTGGTCCCTGCTCACTGAGAGAATTCCTTCATGTTCAAAAGTATTTTTTAACCAAATATTAAACATTTTATACTACCAATTTGCAGGCAACACAGTGGGATGTGAGACTTTGCATGTACAGTAACTAACAACTGTGATGCCTTATAGCAATTCTGCAAACTTAATCATTGTTAGTGCATTCCAAAAGTGGTAAGCCCTTCCAGTCACTCTCTTGGGTTTTCAAGACTGTTAGGAATGTAAGTCACCTAACAGTTGGGTTGGAAAATATATAAACCAGGATAGACATTTTAATACTGTCTCTTTAAGGGAATGTTAAAATTGTAATTGGGTGTGTTTCCTCAAATGGCCATAAGATGGAGCCAGAAACCTGGGTTGTTCTGTTCTCTTGTTGCTGAGAGTGTTACCTCTCCTACGTTTTCCCCTGTTGCTGATAATAGTTCTTCTTGGGTTTGATGTAAGTCTGTTATTGAACTGTTTTTGATACTGGACTTTGATATTTGGATTATCCCTGGACTGAAAAACTGACTGCTATAACTGTGAATGACTTGGACTGCTTGTTTGGACTTTGCTTAAACGTTTATTGGAAGTAAAAACCTACATTTTACTATACAGTGTATCTGTGTGCTGGTTGTGTGTTATTCTTCACCACTCTCACTACGTCTCCCTGTGTGCGTTCATTCTCCTAACGGGGAATTACCTCAACAAAGACCAAATAAAGAGCATACCACTTTTGACAAGCAATACAAATGGTGACATTTGCAGGACTGCTATAAGCCATTATGTCTCGGCCCAGCCCTTCAGTCTGTACAAAGAGGTATAAGAATTAATTATAGTCAGGAGTTCTTATATATTACTTGTTCAGCCTATCAGTGATTAAAAATAGGACAAGGTCTCTAGATTACAGTCTACAGCCCTCCCAAACCAAGGAGATACCCAGATGACTTTCAGAGGCTTGCTTGTAATAGCAACACCATCCAATAGACCAATGATTTTACTGTACACTGAATTCTGACAGGGCTAGTGATTTTTTTTTCTTATAGCCTCTTTTCTTATCTTGGGGCAGGTGAAGAATCTAACCAGTGTCTGGGACATGTGACAAAGGCCTAACTATTTAAAATATAGTATTATACCTTTGTCTATTTCTGCACTTTATTGCTGCCTGTTGTTTCTGAGACCTCAATAGCTTGGTTTTTTTAAAAAAAATTAACCCTGGCAACTGATCTGTCTAGGAAGAGAATAGATTAGATGCTTATCCCAAACATGTTTATTTCCAAAAGGCAACTGGTGGACCTTCTTGGTTTTTTTTCCCTTTGAAAATGTTTCACTTCTCACCCAAGAACTTCTGTTAGAACTGAAGAAGCTTCTTGGAATGAGAAGCAAAATGTTTTCAAAGAAAAAACACCAAGAAAGTCTAGTTATCTTTAATTGGGGAAAAACATCTTTGGAACAACCATGACTTGGATGATTGAGAATCTCCACAGACTAGACTCTGGTCTACTCAAACCCATTTTGATGGGGTAATTTGTGACATGAACAACTGTGTGACTGTCATCTAATGTAACAGTACATTGTAATGACACTATCCAAGTTTTGTTTTTTGTTTTTTGCTCAGTGATAACATTTTCACTGGCTTACTTATGTTTCCTTTTATTGTCTGATGAAGAAACCTGTTTCAACAAACACAGCATACTCTTACCTGAATACGGCTGAAGAAGCCGGCTTAAATTTGGGACTTTGTTTTTTCTCTTTAAATTAATGATAAACGGGATGAGAAAGGTTATTAGCTTCATGTATGCTATGTTCTTTTGAATGTCTTCTTTCTTTTCTAGATGCTTTTTCAGAAGTTTGAGCTGAAGGGTGAGCCTCTGCTGTAGTCTCTGGTATGAGAAAGCATCAAGATGATCCTCAGTCATTCTAATTGCACTGGAGAGGTTGTATGCTGCATCGAACAAGAAGACATCTTCATACTGTTGAATCTTTGTAGCGGCAAACGTCAGCTTAAGTATTATATGGTCCACAAACTGCATAAAGAAAGTTTTTTCTTCGGTGCTGTTAGGATTGTAAGTTGGATCTTCATTCATATTTTCATCATAGATTCCTTCAAACTCAGGCTCTTTTGTAATGTCTATTAGACCTATACCATATACATGTACATATAAGTTCTATAAATATATTAAAGATAAACATATTAAAATACAGATATATCCTACAGGTTGGAAGCATGTGAAAGAGGCCTTCATCCTGCAATAGATAGAGAGTGGCTAAAGTGATGATAATAATGATGTTGTTATATCATAGGTCTCTTTAAAGGAAAAATAAAGTCAGTTATTATCATTAATGACCAGCCTTAATTAGAAATGAGATTTATTGAAATCAGTGGCAGTTGTATTAGATATGGCTCACTAGTCTCAAAGATTTCAGAATGTCTTCTCTGTGGATGGTGTAGTTTGCATCCAACCCATAAACTTCAGAGTATATTTTTTAACTCAAGGGGAACGTATTTCATGTTAAAGATAATCCTTTTTTGCCAAGCATTCTAAGGCTTGTTTAAAAAATAATAATCAGAAAATTAAATTTACAGAACTATCCAGTTGCTATATATAAAATATTTTGGCCATCAATCTCTAACTATTCAAAGCAATCATCTGGCTGGCTGGAAATAAGTCTAGAAACATGTTTGCACTCTCTGCTTTCTTCCTATCAGAGTTTTGTTTACTTGCTTGACTATTTCCTTTAGAAGCTAATATAAATTTTCCTCACATTTGGGAATACCAGAAAATCCAAAATGATACCATGTTGAAGGAAGGACCCAGAGAGAGTAACATGTATGCACAGGAAGAACTAGGCAGAACCAGTTAAAACCACTCATGTCTAGATGATATAAAAATCAACTAAATAACAAAATAAGGAAGCTAAAGGCACTTATCTTATTTAAGCTAGGAACAGTGGCCAAGGTTAGCCCAAGATGAAATGAAGGACTGTACAAGGGCTTATCAGGAGACCCCATCAGTGTGTGCAACCTTCTATCAAACATCTTGTGTTCTCCAACCTTCCTTCCATTACCTGCATTGTATTGTAGTGAGGCTTGATGAGTGTGAATGCGTAAGTATGTAATGTTTCAGCAACTGTATTCAATATAGCTAAGAGGTTAATAGGAACTCTTTTTCCCTTATGTTTCCCTGGCTGGATTACTACATACATCCTGAAGTACAAATCAGTAAAGAGAATATTTGGTAATCTGGGGCACAGGGGAATAGGCTGAAGACTTTATAGATTATTTCTGTTAAGACAGCCTTGGGGTAGCTTTTCATTATTGAGCCAATATTTTTTAGATATATTTGCTGGGGAACAGTGGAAGAAATTAAAGTGTAGAACATAGAAAGTGTGTTACAAATCCTGCTGGAAGGGCCTTGGCGACTACAAAGGATGTCGAACAATTGCCTGGGATTAGGTACTCAATCTTTTGGTTGGTTTTGGACACTCGGGGATTTGGGTTAAGCTTGCTATCTGGGGAAAAGATGGGGAGTGACTTTGGGTGGCACCTCTGGAGTGGGAGAATCTGGGTAACAAACTCTTCCATGACTACTTTAGGTCCTATATGTGTTTCACTTAGGTGTACATTTGCAAGCAGCCATGAGTGACTGAAGCTTCATAATACGTATTCACAACATGCATGTATCAGATATGTACAAGTTATTTTATGTGATACAGTTTCACCCTGATTATTACTTCCTACAGTATGTACATTGAACCATGTTTTCATGCAGTGGTCAAAAACATTTCGACGCAAACTTACCAGCTTGACAGAACTCTACAGCAGGCCTTTTTAATGTTTGGGGAACACCGTCTTGATCAATATCCATGCTAGAGCGCCAGAGTTCAGAGAACCTTACCCTTTTTTCCTTGGGCATGTATACCCCATGCCACAGGGCTTTCAACATGTAGTCAACAGCAATTAACATTTGTCCTATTCTTGTATCGAAATACGCTGGAGGGAGTGAACAAGAAGTACTCTGATCATAATTGGCATCTAAACTGATAGAAGGGATTTGGTTCAAACAATAAATGCCTACGGCCAACTCTCTGATCATTTGATGAATTTCCCGACAGTCCAGATCTAAGCCTGGTTCCACTGGCATAAGTACAATAGCTATTGAAGTATTGACGCTTTTCATCTGACTTAGAAGTCCACTGGGAAGTTCTAATGGGTGACGCATGTCATCTTTGGATGCCAACCAGCTGCAGAATGAAGTAGTCAGTAATTCCTGAAGCTCACTTCTGTCGTACTTCTCAAAGAAGGCACTAGCATTTCTCTGTGCTGCCAGGTGTGCCAAGTAAGTTGCCTCATCTGCTTGCTCATTTCTCAAGGCTTGCTTCTTAACTGGTCTCAACATTCTTCAAAATATTCTGTTCTGCTGTTTCTAAATGGGAATTACGGTATTTTGGGGTGAGGGTTAAAGGAAGTTAAAAAGTGAAATTAAGCAATCTAAGATTTGCTGGAAGAAAAATATATGAAGGGACCTTGGTGTTCTCTGAACTTGGTTGTTTTCTTGCAGACATTTTGTTACCAAACTAGATAACTTCATCAGTGCTAGTAGGGAATGGGGTTTGCTCTCATTTTATATTCTTGTGGATTGACTTGTCAGTGGAGTGGGAGTTGTACAGGTAGTCTTCGACTTACAATCATTTGTTTAGTGACAGTTACAACAGCACGGAAAACTGACTTATGACCTGTTTTCACACTTACAACCATTGCAACATCCCCAAGGTCCTGTGATCACCATTTGTAACCTTCTCACATGGCTTCCGACAAGCAAAGTCAATGGGAGAAGCCAGATTCATTTAATAACTACATGATTCACTTAACAACTGCAGTAATTTGCTTAACAACAATGGAAAAAAGATTGTAAAACGGGGCAAAACTTACTTAACTCTCTTGCTTAGTAATGGCAATTTTGGTCACAACTGTGGTCGTAAGTCGAGGACTACCTTATATATAAATATATTTTTATAAAGAAGAGAAAGCAGTGAGGTGAAAACTTCACAGTGAAAACCTTACACCATGGTTATGATATACAGCTATAGTACTTTACAGACATTTCAGATCCCTCACAATTTGGCAACTCCAGAAGTTTTGGTTTATAATTCTTATCCTATCTGGGACAGATTGATATTGTAGACCAAGATATTTAGATGGAAGAAAGTTGGGTTGGGTCATAATTCTCCGGTTGCTTAAAGTTAATTATGGAAGTCCCACTTTAAATTATTATTAAATAGTATAATTATGCTTTATTAATTTTAACTTGGTACTTTTACATTTAAATAACTGCATCAGTGCGTTACACATCTATAAATAGTGTTGATTTGCTTCATTGCTCACAATAAAATATATTTAAATTATGTATTATTTCAGTGAATGCCGATAGTGTCTGTACGTTAGATTATTACTAATAATGTTGTATTATTGTTACAATTCTGTTGGCTAATAAGATTAATATAAGATGTATAGTTGAGATTCAATGCTTTATTTTAGAAGTCACAACAATCTTATGAATTAGTTAAATAATTATACAGGAATATATGCAGGGTAATCAAAAAAGTTAGGATGACAGCAACAACCTTGTGATTGTAGCAACACACATAAAAAGTGAGATGGGGCTTCAGTGGTGGTGTTGCAGTAGCAATCTTAACATTTTAGCCCTCTCTGTGGATGTCTCTTGTGATGTACCTTAAATATATAGGCATGAAAGGAATGAAGCTATGGCTTCAATGGGTATTTAAATATGCATCAAAATCAACACAAGGAGAATCTGTACAAACTGCCTTATTCTTACATAGGGAAATTGGGACATTAGGAATTGTTCTGTATGTTCTATTCCTTTTATTTTTCTTAGATGATATCCATTATTCAACTATAATGCCTGGAAACAGCATTGTGTTTTACAAGATTATTTATACTTTGCTGCACTAAGATTTGAGTCAGGTTCTATCCTTTTTAATTCACAGTTTATTAGTTTAGCTTTAGATTATTTGAATGAGTGAGTAATGTGGGCAAATTTTAATATGAACAGGAGCAAAACCATAATACTTTCCATGTAAAATTAAAATTGAATATCTAAACTGGAAGTGAAATGATTTGAAAAAAACCTGTTTATAACAGAGTATGAATAGAACCAATTTTTTTCTTGGCTATGGCTATCAATCCTGGCTCCAATGGTATTTCAATATGCCCATTCAATATGTTTAGTAGGAGATAAACAGCACTTTAATATGGCTATTAAAATAAATGAACTTTTAGTAAACTTCCATATTTTTTTAACCAAATGTCATTCTAGAGAAGTGAAACTATATTGATAATAGATGTTTATTTGTTAATGGTTTGAGAGGCTGCCTAAAACTTTCTTGTTTTTTGTGACTCTTGGAATCTCTTGAATGTTCCACAATAATTAACAATTGATTTAGAGAAACTGAATTTTGCATTTAAAAAAGAGAAACCACCAATATACAGTAGGTGCACAGTGAATGTTCAGGAAAGCCCCAAACCACATTCACTTATTAGTCAACATTGTATGAGATTGAAAATTCTTCAAGCTGACTAGGGCATGAATGGAGTACTGTGACTGGAGATCATGTGATTACCCCATCTCAAGAAATAATTATAAGGGTTGTTTTAAATAAAAAAGAAACAGTCTGAGAGAAGGAGCACCATCTATCTCCTCAACACCTTCAGAATTAAGTGACTAGAATCCCCTGGGATATAGAAAAACTATTCAGAAAGACTGGAGACAGATGGGATTTTTTTTTAAAGGAAAAGAACTATTTTTGAAAGGATAGTTTTTTTTCTTTGTGTGTTTGAAATCTGTTTATGTTATCCCTGGTAATTGTACAAGTTCAGTTCTTATCTGTTTTATGTAAATTACAAGCTCTATATTAGGAGACTAACATCATTTTATAATCTGTCCTGAGTCTTTTATTTTCTTTGTATTTTTTATGGAAACTCCTTTTAAGTCAGAACCTGAGATTTGAATACCTTTTATGAGACTGGCTGATCTTCCAAAAAGGAAAGAGGGGAAGATGTGATTAATTTTCTTTGCCTCATCTCCCTAAGGCCAGGAGGTCGTGTTATAGAATTTATTTCATTTCTTTCTGATTCTTTTTTTAATTTTCCAGAAAGTAATACAGTTAACAATAGCAGGGATACTTCCAAGCAGACAGTTTGCAGTGCCATCAATCAAAAACTGTGTGACTGTTCTTCACTTATATAAGAAAAACAAGAAGTAGCACTGAGTAGAAGACTACAGAGCCAGTTTGGTGTAGAGGTTGAGGTACCAAACTACAAAGCAGGACACTGCGAGTTCAAGTCCCGCTTTAGGCATGAAAAACAGCTAGGTGATTTTGGACCAGTTATTTCTCTTAAAGCCCAATTTACCTCAGAGTTGTTCCCTGAAAACAAGAAGATAAAGGTTGATAGTATGTTCACCATCTTATTTGTAAAAATAATAAAGGCAGGATACAAATAAAAAAATACTTTTTCTATGAAGAAAATAGATTGACTATCAATCAATCTTTATTCAGTCATAGACCAGCAGATAGATAGATGGACTATGCAAAAAATAAATAAAAAATTTGTTTGTACATCTGCGCATGAACATGCAAAGACAAATTGTTAAAATAATATGTCATAGAAGCAACAATAAAATCAGTGCAAGCTCACCCAGTGAGTAAAAAAGTTTGTCAGAAAAATTCTTGGACAAAAAAAATAAAAATAAAAGAACAGTGTAAAAAGATGAGGGAGCTTCCCAAACACGAAATAAAAAGTTCGAGTGCAGATAACAAGCATTCTGATTTCCTAGCCACCTGTAGCTTTGATGTAGGAAACCAAGCAGCATCTCTTCAAAAAACTTTTATCATTGAACAGGTCCTCATATAAGATAAGATAGCTCTTTAGTTATTCCACAAAGATGTCACAGGGTGTACACTACGCCAAGCGATATCCTGCTTGGTTTTGACTGAACAAGGCACGAATATAGCTGATTGTAGTTTAATAAAACAGATGTCTTGAGGTGTAAATCTGGCCAGGAAATGAACCTGGGGGAGGACTGGAGGAGGGACTGGGTAGCGATATACATGCTGTAGACTAGAGTCATGTGTATCCCTACCATAGTCAAGCCAACAGTCATTCCTTTAGTCCTTGGTCTGATTGGAAATCGCCAAACACTTTTAAGTAACATTTTTACTTCAGCTTGAGGGAAGGGAGGAGAGTGAAAAGAGAAACCTACTTTCTTCATGTTCTTTAAGCATCCTGACTGAAAAGAGAAGGCAGAAAAAGCAATAAGGCACCATTTAAAGGTTACCTCTGCCAAATTAGGGAATAGAACTAACAGAAACCAGAAAAAGAGAAAAATTCTAATAGGTCTCTGGAAACTCAATCCCAGATAAGCAAGGTGACTGAAACACAAATCTATGCATGTAAAAATAAGTGGGAAGCTTGCCTTTTGTCCCAAGACTAGAGAGCCTCCAGCTTACATCCTCAGCTGTTAGGTGGTGAAGAAGGGAGTAGAAAGGAAACTGTCACTATGGATACCATAGAACAGTAAAAGAATCCTACTATTGGTGAATTTACACCTTTTGGGAGCAAAGAGAGAATCTTATCTCATGCTAAGCTTTCCCAGTAGGAGCACATGGCATAAGTTTTTTTTATTAAAAAAACGTGGGTACTTTCAAGATGACCAAATAGATTGCTACAGAACTGGCATCACATATTGTTGTTCATTTTTTTGTCAGCAGAGATAAGAACTACCTAGTGGTCACACTTTGTCAAAGACACTAGAATATGCATGAGATTTTTATATGTTAAAATTTTATTTGCAATCCAAAAAGGAAGAACTAATAGCAAAAAAGCTAACAGATTTAGAACTATCCATTAATAAACATTCTCTCAAAACAATAGCTGGGGTTCTGAGGACTCTCCTGATCAATACTGGATAGACAATGAAAATATCCAGAATAAAGATGACAAATGCTTTGCTCTTGTAGTTTGAATTCCTCTAGTGTTATTGAATTAAATAAAAGGTAGTAGCATCATTTTAAAAACTTAAGCATAAGAGAAAAGTCTATTAAATGGCAAAGTGGACTGTAGTTTACAAATATCCCATTATGACTTTATGTTTCTGAGGTCACAGGAATGTTTTTTGTCCAGATACAGAATAGCAGCAGTCTGTATAGGCATACAATTTGTGTACCATGAATATTTTATTTAGAGAAACAAAAAGACAGATTGTTAAGCTTTGTTAATATATGACTGACTGGGTCTTGGATCTGATGCTATCACAGAGTATGAATATAGTATTACAAATAAGTCATAAAAGAAAATATTACAATACATTCCCAGTCC